AAGACCTCTACTGTGACCAGTGGCATAGGGTGTTCTGTGCCAACTGCTGTCTTTCTAGGTAAGGCACGTAGGCTTAGGACAGACTCAGACTTTTAATATAGAAGACAACTTACAGATTAGTGACTTGCTCAGCGTGGTCTCCATCAGGATGTTCATGTTAGGCTTTAAGTAGTTGTTGGGAATGTGTATGTCTGGAGATCCATGAGGTGTGAGAATGGGTAAAATCAGCAAGTGCGAGAAAAAGGGATGCAGAAGGCAAATTATAGTAAGAAATATGGTCTCTTTGAAAAGCGTAATGGGGGTAAGAGTTTGTACCAACCCAAATTCTTGCCTCAGAATGCTAAGAATGGACTCGAGGACAAAGGAGGCCATGATTAGGAAAGTTTTTCATTGCTTTAATTTTATTATTCCAAGTTTGCAGTACATAATGATTGCATTCACTGTAGGGAATTGGTACATGTACAGAATACATTTCAATTCTTTTTTTTCCTCCATCTCTCCAGCCCCTACTTTTATTTTTCCAGCATCAGATTCATTTATTCATCTTATGAGACTTTATAAAGTTAATTGTCATATATACAGATTAAAAACCAGACTAATAGACAAAGAAGATATAAAACATGGAAGGCAGTTATACTAAGCCAAAGGATACCACTTTTAGGTACATTGTTCATACTGGATTACACTACTTTCTTCTCTCTCTTTAGAGTATAGAAGTTTCATTTGGGGAAAGCACCTGTGAGGAAAGAGTCCTCAGAGTGGGTTCTGCTGAAACTTTTTTCTAGGAGTTTTATACGTTGCAAAATCATATCACAGATCACCTTGGGTCAAGCTAAAGTCCATCTGTAGGCTTACTGATTCAGCTGCCTAGCTAATATGATCCAACAGACCAACAAGGCCCATAGTATGAGTGTAACTGGTGGCGTCACTAACTTACTTTTAGCATGGAGAACACAGGTCCTTCTGGAAGATATAGGGTGAGGGTCAGAGTGTGCTGGCATCTGTCTGTGTGTTTATTTCGTTGTTCACTGATCCTCTTGCTTCAGCCTCTCCGTGCTGGGATTACAGGCATGTGTCACTGAGCCCATTGGGGCCTAGTTTCTATCAACTCTGCCCTGGACCACAGGCTTGGCGCACCTCATCTCTGTTCTGACTCTCTTGGGACTGGTTCCATTCTAGCCACCCGCCAATCTCTACCTGTCCTTGCTCTGTGCAGCAAAGTGAGAAGTGCACATTTTTCTTCTCCCCTCCTGATACCACAGTGGCTGCAACTCCAGCAGAGAGTTTGGGGCCAGGCAGTGATCTCAAGAACGGGCACCACACATCGACAAGAAGCCTAGTGACAGAGCACCCTGGTTCCTTGGTATTAAGAGCCACCAGACCCCTGAGACAGACTACCTTAGCTTTTCAGAAGAAAGAATGTGAGAAAATTCAAATGAGAACAGGGGAAAAGCATGACTTAAGGTATGGCAAAAAGTGTTGTGGAAAAAAGAATAACAGACTTTTTCAGAAGGTGTAAGGAACAAATCTTGCACTCCTAGAGAGGCAGAGAAGGCCTTTAGTTGGCTAATCTGGCTCAGAGAAGTTCAGCTTTGTAACTTCTGAGTCCCAAACAAAGATGGTTACTTAAAAATGACAGGTTTATAACTAGCCATCCTGTCCACCTCAGTCAGATAGGGAATCCAACCTAAACCGAGGGAGGTGGGGATGTGTGCCACAGTTAGGGAGTGGAGTCCTGGTAGAAGAGGGGAGGACAAGGAGGAGAGGGGAGGAGTGAAAGGTCTTCATAATTCCTTTGTAGTCGCTGTGGCGCCACCTATTGGAGACTATGTGCCATGGCCAATATGGCACTGGACATTAGAGGCCATGTGCTAAGCCCCACCCTTCTTCCCGGAGTCAAGTTACGACTTCCTACTCCCCTTTATGTAATATCCTGTTTCATTTTCCCACATTCCTGCCCAATGCTAGCCTACCACGTCAGCTAGCCCACCCCCTAAACCCCGCCTCTAGCCTGACTGTATTTAACCATTGTCCACATGACCCGGCCCCCAGAAGATTCTCTTTCTCTGTCAATCTTCTCTGTGCCCTAAAGCAATAAACGTGTTTTATTGTTTTATTACTGTCTGCGCTGCCGGCCGGACACCTTTTAAGGAGAAGAAGAAGGAGAAGGGAGGCTCCTAGGCCTGCAGGTCAAGGGAACTGTGAACTCCCGTCTTGGTTACTTTTCTCTAGTTGCTGGGACAAAATATCTGAAGCCCAAAATTAAGGAATTTCCTTATTTAGCAGCAAGAGCAAAAGGAGGAGCAGTGGCAAGCAGCCCCTTTCCCTCCTTTACATTGTATGCAACATACCTGCCCCTGGGCAGGTGTAGCACTCACACCCATGGATGGCTCATAAACTCTAGAAGCCTGTCCCATGACTGCATGAGGCTTTTTTGTGGAGGAACACCCAGACACAAACCACAACACCCCCATTAACACATCAAAGTGTAGCCTGGGAGGGAGGAGGGAGATTCCAGAGGAGCAGGAAGAGGTGTGTTGGAGGAGGGCAGAAACCACTCTGACAGCCAAGGCAGAGGATCTCCTTTTAAAATAGACAAATTTTTTCTTCATTAGCAGAGCACAGGAGGGAGCATTTCCCTCACTGGATATGAAACTGGATTCTGGAGTCAAGACTTAGACTAAGCTCCATCATTTATTAGCTATGTGACACTGAACAAGTAGGGCAATGGCTTTTAAACTTCAGTATCTTTCCGGGAGGAGGGGAGAGGTTAATAGAACTTGCCACACTGGTTGGGCGATAGTGAATTATTTATATTAAGTGCTTCACACAGTGCCCACAGCAGGTACTCAATAAATGTATGCGAAAAATGAATCAGGTTGTCATCGATAATACAGTAAAAATATTTCTGAATGCAGTTCCTGAAATTTGGTGATTTCAGAGTCACAGTATGTTTGCAATTTAGAGAAACACAAGGCTTTATTACTAAAATAATAATTTATTAATAAAATATTAATAAATAATGTTAACGTTCTTTGTAACCTTTAGATCATTATATTTTCACCATTTGAACTTGAGGGCCTACCATTTTACAATGTGACCTCCAACAATATTGATGAAGTACATTTAGTTGATTTTGATGCATGACAAATGATTTATTATCATTATTCTTTTTCTGTACAAAAAGCAAAACCACAGGAAACCAATGAGTTAAATCATAACGAGTTAGAGAAATTAGTTTCAAAGTCAATTTGGCTTTATAGTATTTATAAGATATTTAATGTCTCTGTTACACAAAATTCCCTTCCATTTTATACTCTAGATAGGATCCATCATAGATTTAAGACAAATTAGCATCTATGGAGTCTTCACTGCAGCTAATATTATTTGATAATCAGCTCGGTTTTTTGAAGCTTGATCTTATTGAAGCTTCATTTAAAGTTTAGTCTAGTGGGCACCAACAGTTAGCAATGGAAAGAACTGAAATTCTGAAATCAAATCTTAGTTTGAACATAGGTTTCATTTCTTACTAATACTGTGAAAATGGTCAGCCAGTGTGTGGTTCATTAGCATTACAATTGTTCTGCAGGAATTGTGAAATGCTGAACCAAATTACTGATGTGTGTACGTAATTTAATTGTGTTAATATGTTCATTTTTAGCAGCACAATCATTTCACACTACTCAAGAGAATCACAGTGAGAGACAAGGAAAAGATTTAAATATTCTGGTTCCGGAATTCGTAAGAGGAAAATAATAGCTGGGAAATATGCAAAGAAGAACAGGCAGGATGATCAAAGAAATAGAGGATTTTATACTAAGATGTTTAAAAGGAACTTTTTGTTAAGAATGCAGAACTGTGAAAGAGTATTGCAAAATTATGAAGAGTCTGTAGGTTGTACTTCAGTGGAGTGTTATTGTGATCAGATCTGACCAAAAGACCTGTAAATCCTGGAGTTCTGCTGTTTATCTGCTACTCGTCCCTGCGAAGTCTCTGAGGAAAGACCATTCACAGGAGAGATAGGCACGGTGAAGAAACACTCCTTGTGGCTGGTGCTTCAGACACAAGTTCCTCTTTAGAGGTCTGTGAGCTGGGAGAAGCCTCACGAAGGACTCTTTTTGCCTAAGGTTAGGTTAGGCTCAATAGGCAGAAATAAAGTCAGACAGAAAGTAGATAAAGTGTCTGCTTTCATCCCTAATCTCTAATTCAAATATATTCAAGGGAAGAGCAGGTTACTGAAGACACAAACAGCCACAGCGGGCGTGAGAAGCTGCACCAGCGTCCATGGCAACTGTAGCCTTGCCCTGGATTTGCTTTCTGGGCCGGTGTCAAGGTGTGAACCATCGCGAGCAAGGCTGTCCCCAGGAATACCCCAAAGGAAGCTGATGCGGAGCGCTCAACCCTCCTCCGAAGCATGTGACTTTTAGCTTTCTAGTGTGCCCCAGGAAATGCATTCCGGGTCTTCAGAACGGGTACCCCTTGCCACCCGGAAAGAATAAAATTAGCATCCCTGTGAGAGAACGTGAGGCTTTGTGTGAGAAAGTATTACTGGTCCTTATCTATGTTCTTAGTGGGAAAAGGTTTCCCAAATGCTGCAGTATTAGTTCCTTGTCTCTCCTCCCTAGCAAAGGCCCAAGGACAGAGCCGGTTCCCCTAGCAGCCAGGGCTACACACAGGTGGGAGTCCGGCCGCGCTCTCTCACGGGAGTGGAGGGCAGCTCCGCGCGGCGCTGCTGCGCTTCCCCTTCTCCCTCCTTTGCGTGGCAGTGGGGACGGAAGCCAAGGCCTTTCCACAGAGCTGCACCGCCCAGCCCATTTTATTTTTTGGAGATAGGTCGCTAATTTGTAAAGGTTGGGCTCGAATTTGCGGTCCTCCTGCCTCAGCCTCCCGGAGGGCTAGGATTAGAGCGGCGTCATTGCTTTTTCCATGGTAGTCTTGGCTGAGTCTCTTTTTAGTCTTGGACTTGGTCAAGACCATGTTAGCCCTCACCTCTCCTAAAGCGTCCTCTAGGACTGCGCAGACGACCCAGACATCCTCACTCTGGGTCTCTCAGCGCGCATGCGCCGAGGGCTCGCGGGACGGTAGCCCCACCCCCGGGTCGGGGCTGTGGGCGGGACCAGGCCTGGAAGCCCCCGCGGCCGCATCCCTCGAGTTCCGTCCTCCGGGGAGTCAGTCGGTGGCGCCTGGTGAATACATGCTGCGTGGGAGGTTTACCCACTGGCTCTTTTCTCCCTCAGTTTTGCCATGGGACTAGAAATCTACTTCGGGGAGCCCGACTCCCCTGTGCCCGTCGAAGGTGGCGGCTGCGCGAGCTCGCTGGTGTCGGCAATTTCCGCCCGGCTTCCGCCCGGCTTCGCCCGCGGCGTCTCTTCAGCGGCGGCAGCGGCGCCCTCTCGGCCCCGCCCACCGTGATGTACGACCGGGCGCCCCGCTGGCTCCGAGTGGCTGTGGGCGGCGGCACCGCGGAGCACGTGGGCCCCGGGTCCTACCAGGTCCCGGTCCCGAAGCGGCGGGCGGCCGGTAAGGCGCGGCAGGGTGTCGTGCCGCTTCCCACACCGCGGAAGTGCGCGGGGCGACGCGGGACGCGGCTCCGCCCCTCCGCCCTTTGCGGCCCCTCCTCCCGCTGCCCCGGTTGCCGGCGTGGTCCTCCGCGTGCGCCCGCACGCCCTTCCTCCCCTGCAGAGACTCTGTGGCCCAGGTGCCTTATGTTTCTGCCTTGCTGTCATTTCAGGGTCAGCGTGTCTCCCGACACTTGCCTAACCACCCGCCTTCGAACATCCTGACAACTGTCTTTTCTCCATTCTGTGAAGTTACATTCTTGAGAGATGGGTGGCGATGTGTAATTTTAATATTTGCTTTACTCATTTGTTTGCAGTTAATGAATTTGGCCAAACTTTTAATACTTACAATTTGCTTCCTAGTTTTTCTGTTCTATTCTTGGAGGCTAATCCTACCCAAATTACAGTTTTTCCCCTTTCTTAAACTGCCTTTTCCCTATAATTGCAATTATGTATTTCTAAACAAATGCCAGGATAAATTGTTCTATTGACCGATCAGATTAGTTTTCTTTGGGTAAAGTTTGTTACCAGTCAGTGTTTTAGATCTTGAATTTTACTGCTTTTCACCATCTGATCTCATTAGTTTTGGAGGTTACACATCTGTCTTTATTTTAATGCATTTGAGCTATGTCATTGTCCAACACCTTCCTGGCCACGAATAACTACCTAAAAACACCACTGTTTCTTGACCTTACTTCGGTACGGCTGAGCGCTTTCTTAGAAACGCTTCTTCCCATGGCGTCTCCAACAGCATCATTCTTTCCTGATTGTTTTCCTTACTGCTCACTGAAAGAGTACCGGACACGTGGCTAAGTGCTGATTCAGGGAGCCATTTCCCCTCCTGCCAACCCTTCATGGTCTTCTTTAAATGTTTTCATTTTCCTAACATCTTTTAAGTGTATAATATTGTGTTTGCCATGTTCATTGCTTTTCTTGTGCTTAATCGTTCATATCTATATCGTCAACTGCTTTTCATATTCTGATTTTCATTACTTTCAGATGAAAATCCTCAGAAATCGTCAGATTTTTGGACATCTTTTTTTTTGATATCTTTAACTCTAGCATCTGAAAGTGTTTAAGTGTCTGAATCTCCAAGTGTCTGAACTCCTTATTTTCCCCCTTAATAATGACCCCTTAAAGGGCTGGGGATTTAGCTCAGCGGCAAAGCGCCTGCCTGGCAAGTGCAAGGTCGTGAGTTCGGTTCCCAGTACCGGAGAAAAACAAACAAAACAAAACAAAACAAAAAAACCAATAATGACCCCTTAAACAAATTCACTATCAGTGTATCTATTCTAGCCTCCTCTATCTGACCATTCCTATTGGTCACTAAGACCTATTGATTCTGTTTTGTTTTGAGACAGGATCTGGCTCTGTAGCCCAGGCTGGCCTCGAACTTACAGCAGTCCTCTGGCCTCAGCCTCCCAAATGCTGGGATTACCAGCTGTGCCACCACACCTGGCTTTATTGTTTTCATAATCTTTCTGAAAGTGATTCTTTCTCTCCATTTAACTGCATCTGGCTTAGTTCAAGTCTTTATTATCTCTGTTATGAAGCAAACCAATGAAATTTTTTTATTTTAGTCTCAAGTCATCTTCTGTCTTGTGGCTAGAGTGGTCTTAGATATAATTATCTTATTTATAAAAACAACATCAATGCCCTCTGTGGGGAAATTCTGGCTGGAAGAGCTCTTGAAATGAGTATAATAGGAAGGGGTCTGGGATCAACAGTTCCCAAGGTTCTGGAATGCGCAGTTAATATTAGAGCAGATATGTGGAGGCAACAGCTGAAGAGAATCAAATTATTATTTTTTTTATTTTTTTTGGTTTTTCTCCGGTACCGGGAACCGAACTCACGACCTTGTGCTTGCCAGGCAGGCGCTTTGCCGCTGAGCTAAATCCCCAGCCCCATGAGAATCAAATTATTCTCAGATATTTTCTCTGGCCATTGTGTTCCCCCTGTCCCAATAAGATTGCTTAAACTAGGTGACCTGTGTCACATAGCAAACTATCCCACTCCTTCCCTGTCCCCTGATCAAAACTCCTATACAAATGTTTTTCTCCCGCTTCTTTGTTATCCTGTCCTAGGATTAAAAGTAAATAACCAGGAGGCTTTAGCTCTATCTGGGCTGTTTCCTTGAGGTTTTCTCATGCTGGGTCTCAGTGAAGTAGGTCCTCGGCTTCTGGAGGGGTCTGACTGAAGTTGGTTACATACTGCAGCACACCGTACAAAAGCCCAACAAAACTAAAAACTTTTGTGACAGCATGGTTAAAAATCTGAAATCCTTAATGTATGTAAGGTTGTGTTTTCATCCCGGACACGGTCTCTTACTCAACCTGATCTTTCCAGGCACGCACACCTCACACATCCTCTTACATTTTAGCACTTTCAGCTTTGCAGTTTTTGTGCTGTAAGTTCATACTCACTTCTGCACTTTTCTACCTGTTAATGCATTGGCCCAGTATGCTCTGCCTTCCTTTTATACCTAATTCCTGTTTATTCTTTGAGTCTCAAGTGTTCTCTTACTCAGTATCATATTACTTTTTTGAGTTCTCAGTGATGCTTGTTGTAGTGCTTTGATCCTGTACTATAATTATGGTTAACATATCTGGAAGCCCCACTGCCTGTGAGCTTGAGGTAATAATAATCATGATCTTTATTCTTAGATTTTTGCCCAATACCATAACACAAAAGTGCTCAGTGAAAAAAATTGAATAAAATTAAAATAATGAACCATATATAAAAAGTATAAAAAGTCTTGGAGGTCACTAAATAGGATGTGGACAGGCCCTTCTTATCCTGTGTCAAAGAACCATAGTTCATTGGCCTATGAAAGTAACTTGGAAATTTCATGCTCAGAAACTCAGCAGATGAATGTTTTCATTGGTACTCAGGGATAACACGCTGATGATTGATAAAAGGAACAGGTGTCTCTAGTAATTTCTCTGCCAGATTCCCTGGGAAGATAATTTGAAAGCATCTACATCTCTTTCCTAAATGTGTGTATTCTACCTCACCTGTTTTTAAAACCAGTAACACACTGGACTATACACATTTATTTCAATTTTACAGAGTAGGATGTGGGATGAGTGCGTGATGGGGCTTTATATAATTTATTTGTTACATTGATTTTTATAAGAGGAGAGGATTTTAAAACTTTGGATGTAGGTATTTATTCCCAACCTCTCCTAACTACCCTTCTCCTAATTGTCAGCCCTTCAGTGTATTGTCTTTATATTTTCCTTATGAACTTTTTTACTTTAATTTGAAAACTTTGTTTCCTTGGTTTGTGGCCATTCACTCATTGAGAATGCTCTCATCCATGACTTGCAACCCGAAAGGGGTAGAACTGAGCTGCTCAGCTTTCTAAGTGGGAGAGGTAGACTTAAATTCCAGATGAGTGAGAACTGTGTCGGATTTTCTTACAGTTGCCTGAGAAGCATTCACAAATCATTACAGTAAGTTTTCCCCGGAGACAACTAGCCTACTAGAATGTAGTGAAAACTTATTCCTTTCAATAATGTGACTGCTTTTGGTATTATTGTGCTAACGAGTATGCATTTCATTGCTGTTTACATTTATTTGCATAATAAATGGCACTCATATTAGCTGTCTGTTAAGTTTTCTACTTTAGTTCTATATTGACTAAGTTGGGTGACCTCATCTCCTAAATATTTTCATGCCTAGTTGTTCTTTGATGGGGGAGCTTTATTCAGGGGAACATTGAGGTCAGTGGTCCTGTGCTTGTGCCTGTGTACTTGTGCTAACAATTATTTTGTCTTACTAGTCAATCAGTATATAGGGAGGCCACCTGAGGGAATGCAGTTTATCTCTGTTTAAGTTCAAATAATATGTGTGTGATTGCTGTATAGGTTGATGTCCCTGAGATGAGTACATGTTTCGAAGACCTAGTTATTTCTTGTATGAGAAGGCCTTATATTCTCTGGCTCTTGTGCTTGTAGACTTTGTCTTTTAGTCACATACTGCCCACCTTCTGTCTCAGAATGGCCTGACTTTTATTGCTTCATGCCAGTTTGATTTATCTTTTGCTGTTGGTGCCTCAAACTCCTATATCTCAAACTAAACATTTTTTTTCTCTCAAAGCTTTTCCTCTCCTATATTCTTAAGTTCTTTGTTAGTTTGATTTATCATTTGTAGTCAGTACTTCTTCATATCTCAGTTTATATGACTCAAATCAAACCCCAACAATCCTACTTTCCCAGAACTGTCTTCTGTATTTTATACCTTAATTATGGGCAGGACTGTAGTGTAATTGTTTATTTGTTTCATTTCCCCACTATTTGAAGCCAAGCTTTTATCTTATTGATGATTGTATCCTCATTGTCTGTCATATATGTGTATCATATATTTAATAGAACATTCAATATTGTTGAATGAATGCCTAAATGTATTCTGTAGTTCAGGATATGCTATATTCTGTAATTATTGCTTATGAAGCATTGCACTCTTTTAAAGTGACCAACCATCCTGGTTTGACTGGGACTATCTTAGTTTTAGTGCCAAAAGCCCATCCCTCAGGCAGACTGGGACAGTTGGTCACCCTAAATGTACACCTTAGGTATAAGCTATAAATAAAACAAAAAAGTTCCTTCCCTTGAGTTTATCATTATAAATATTTAAATTTTCTTGTGGTTTCACTCATGTTCAAAATTTCATATATAGTTTCAGCTTATTGACAAAAGAGTACTTCAATAAAGAAATGTATATATCTCACACCTCATATGTTTTACCATCAATAATATGTTCAATGCATGGGGCTGTTTTATGTTTTTTTCCCATTTTTAAAGTGAATTTCAATATTTTGCAATTAATTTTACATTTGTGGGGGGTGCATTCAGTTTAGTGGTCTGCCATAATTTGATGACAGCTGCCTCAGAACTAGTCT